CAGATATGAGAACTCCTGAAGGTGGCAAACTAGCGTTGCAGGTGGCGAGTGGTGTGGTGACAACAAGCCTGCAACCAGTCAAAAGTGAAGAGAGAAGAAAGTGTAGAGGATCCAACAAGATTGAAAACACTCCTGACGCATTGGCTGCGACAGTAGAGACCCCATTTCCAGCTCCACACTGCAGTTGGACAGTGGCATCTACAAACAAAATAAACAAGAATAATAACAAATTAAAACCATGGTCATAAGGCTAAAAAAGGCTAATAAAAAATACTGATCAGAGTGAGAGTGATGACTTGCACATGAAGCGAGTGAAACTTGGGCCAATTGATTTAACTTACTTGGGAATACTGGGGTAGCAGCAATGCCACCGACACTCACAGTGCCATTGGCAGTGCAAAATACAGTGCCTTGTATCCGAAACAGACCGAGAAGAGGGGGCAGGAGATTCCCAAGTTGGGCATCGGCTAGTGGAAGTGCCATGGCAGCAACCAATAGAGGCACAAAGAGAACTATTTTGAAGGCCATTGGTGCTAAATTGGATATAGCGACGAGTGTACTAGCTCAACTTATTCAAGTAATATTAGTTCTTGTTGCCAAATTGCAGACTGATTTGCAAAGTTCCTGCATAAGTTTAATCCTGATCAAAATGGAATGCTCTCAGTGAAAGATCAAAAAACAAAAAGCAATTTTGTGATCGTCAGTTATTCCTTTCGCAGCCTAAGGTTGCCATGAAGCTCATCTTCACCCTACAATTCAACTATTGATCTGTAATTTATTGAACTGTAACATGGGATTTTATAAATCCTCTATCACCACCTGGAGAAACAAAAAATAAAAATAGAAAACGGAAAAATTAACGGTACATGTCACTGTTGACTATAAAGAATTGATGCTTTGGACGAGGATACTAGAAATTCTGAGGTAGGGTATATATATGCCTCCATCTTACAATCACTTCATCACGTCAATAGTGTGATATGTAGTAGTTATGTGAGAGAGAGAGAGAGAGAGAGAGAGAGAAGTTTGTGAACTTACATTCCAGATATTAACCGAAGCATCCGGTGATTTGAATGAAACTAAGAAAAGAGTGTGACTTTCAGACCAAACTGAAAAAAGAGTGTGATTTAATGAGACCATTGTTTGTGTATTAATAATATATGTAAAAATAATGATACTTTGTGTTTGTGATAGTAAATAACATTTATCTTTTTTTGCTGGAGATGGCAAATAACATTACCGGTACAGTTTTATATGTAACTAGCAAAGGTGCCTGCGCGATGCTGCATGTTTTAAAACCGTGTGAAATGTATACAAAATCGTGAAAATATGTATGAAAGACAGTACTATTTATATAGACATGGAGATCTAAATAGTGGCATCATGCTTTGTTTAGCAAGTTACAAAAAATAGACTAATAACATGTTTTATATGCTGCTCATCGTGTTAAAATATTGACCATATTTTAATAAACCAAGCAGCAATCAAAACATCAAAATATCAGCAGTTTTGAGATGTTCATTGTTCAAAAGAGTTTGGACAATTCTTTATATATATGCTACTGGGTGGTGGAAGGGGATTTTCTGCCTCGATGCCTGTTGGAAGGGAATCTTTCTCTTGATGACTTTGCTATAGAGGTGGCTTTTGTTCTTTCTTGTCCTTTGAAGGGGTTTTAACTCTGTTGGTACAAATTTGGAAAATAGCAGGTGTTAGTGTAGATAAATGGAAAAATTTGAGTGAAGACCAACTATCCCCACAAAATTAAGTTAAAAAATCCAACAGGACAAACAAAAGTTTAGGTATATCAACCATTCTATTAATCTGATGGACAAAAGTATAACCTCAGTCTATTTAATCAATTGATAACAAACTTAGAACAATTGTGACAATTTATTAAATAGATATGAGAGAATTAAGCCAAAACACTCTAGCTTTAATAGCATCAAATCAATGGATGTTTATTCAATTGTTACAATTTCGGAAACTAGTAGGTGTTAGTGTAAACAAATGGGAAAATTTAGTGAAGACAATGGCTATTATTACAGAATTAAGGCCAAAAAATCAACTACACAAACCACAATTTAAATACGCCAAGCATTCTACGAATGTGGTGGACAAAAGTATAATCTGTCATTGCCACAAATTATTAAATACCTATAACAGAATTAAACCAAAAGACCCAGACTTTAATAGAATCAAACCAAATACCCATAACAGAATCAAACCATGTGCAAGTTTGTTGTACAAAAGAATAGATTATCTATAGACACCTATGGTGAAAACTGATACATGTATTGCCATTTATAGGCTATGTTAATCTAAATGAAGAAGTAAGCTATAAAAGCAGAAATAACCTATAAACACCTATAGGTCATGGAACCCTAATCAACTTACTGATAGCATCAAGGGAAGCCAAGAGGACTTGTCCGGGAACTATGGCAAAGAATGCATTCGCCTACTTGGGATTTAACCAAAAGTCCTATCACTGATCAAATCGTAATACCAACCCCATCAAGAGTAGAGTTGCTAAGCTTTGATGCCATCTTTGATAACTACTCTCACTGAATTAGCAAAATAAAGTTGAAAGAACTTATTAGAAAAAATAAATTTAATGTGTTATAACTTATAACCATAAAAACTTAAAAGAAATTCATATAGTCTTCAGGGGAACCTTTCAAATTGATTCAGTATGAAATTCAACATAAAAAATCATAAAATAAACCTAACCTCCAACATAAAATACCCATTCCATATGAGATTTCCTTCCCTGTTTCAGCTTCATGTCACCTATATACCAGAGAAAAGATATCAAGCGAAATATCATTTTAAGCACAACTATGAAGGAAGAAACACATTCATTGTCCACATCTCAATTCATTATAAGGTATAAAATAAACCGTAACTAATTCTAAAATTAAGGATTTAAAGTGACAAATTTACAATAAAGATTTATAAATAAATAAAAAAGAGTTAAAACTTAAAATGGAACCAAGCGAAAGTAGAGAAAACTACCAAAGGCTAAAGTGGAGCATAAAGCATTTAAGTTTTGAGAGGAATGTGTAGAGAAATAGGGTGTAGAAGAAGGTGTGGATATGCCTGATGGGTTTTCATAATACTCCCAAAGAAAAAATTAGCCAAAATACAAACGCAAAAAAGAATCTTAATCAATTCTAGATAATAGAGGTACATAGTGTAGAAAGAGAGAAGAATTAAAATTCGGAATTAGAATTCAGATAATGGAGGTAGTGTTCAAACTTTGAACATCTCTAACATGACATCACCAAATCAGTAAAAATAATAAACACAAAATTAGAAAAAAAAAACATATGAACAAAAAAAAAAAAAAAAAAAAAAAAAAAAAAAAAAAAAAAATTTAAAACAAATAAATCATTACACAATTTAGGGTGACCCTAACAACAATTAAGGAATTGATTGCTTTTGTTGGAGACCAAAGCAAGTGTTTCTAAAACAGAGAACAAGAGCATAAATTTTTTTGATCGTTAGATGCCCATTTTTACTTTCCCCTTCCTCCTTCCTCTATTTCCCAAGAAAGCAAATAAACAGAATCAGCCAAATATCACCACAAACCAAATGTATGGTAGTTAATTAAATGCCAAAGTAAGAAGTGCCAAAGAATCATTGAGCGTGCAAAATTCAAAAATCTGAGTCACCACTTGTAGAAGATTAGCCCTTTCCTGGCAGCTCCTTTCACTTACAAACTCCTTGGTGTTCCAGTGCCACGACAACTTCAGTACTTGCTACACAATCCAAGCTCTTTAGTACTTGATGCGCAATCCAAGCCCTGCAAGCTACACTGGTATTTGTTATGGGTTACCATAAAACGAAATTTTCATTCTTAAAGGTCAGTATGTACGAATCTATAAATGTGTTGCAAAACTTCCACAAATATCAAATCAAACCACAGCTTAGTGGCGGCATGTATGTACCAAATTGTGGCACATCCCATTTCAGCTCATAAATCGTTAAATAAGAAATCTAAAATACGTATACCACAGGACACATTCATATCATATAAATTGAAAGGATGAACCAATATTTTGCAAAAGCACAAAACTTTATTAACATCCTGACAAACCCAGAGGATAAAAACTTATAATCAAATCAATCATGAAATAGAGAATTACAGACAGAATATGCACATATAAGAAAGACATGCAACAATCAAGACCACTTGCGCCACCCGTTTCTCTGTAATTGATCTTTCACTTTTTCATTGTCAATCTAACATACTTTTAAATCTTTACTAATCAAATTGTACAATAATTTGGGTTCCCGTAACCTACATTCCATTTTGATAGTTTATCCTTTGCTACTTGTCTACTCCAATTATCAGAAGAAAACTTTACCAAAAATTGTGTTATTTTCATTGGGAAATTCAAAATTAAATGTTGAGTTTAAAAAGATATATGTTTACAAATAAAATAAAAAATAATTCTAAAACTGGTGGAGTAAAGTACTCGCAGAATATGTAACTCTTGCTGTTTGTTGAAAAGACAGATTCATCTTCTATTCCTATAATATATCTGTACATTGCACAAAACGTACTGTGAAAAAAAAATGTTTTGGACACAGAAATCAGAGTAAAAATTAAAAAAGAGAGGAAAAACTTATTACCGGTACCTTAGGGAGAACTGATTTTGGAAAATTGGAACCCCAATACAAAAGAAAGATTTGCAATTTCGCAGACACATGTGAGAGCCCAAAATTCAACGAAACGAAACGAAACACTAAAAATCCAAGAGGGGCCTTTATTCAGCAAAGTGGAAGCTTCAATTTTGAAGAATACAGAGAAAAAAAATATATATGTCTCCAATTCGACCGGTCATTTCGAGGGGATGCCTTTGACGCAGTCTCCTTCACATCTGCCACCAAAGCCAAACATCAAATACAAAATAAGATTCAAATTATCAAAACAAAATTAGATTTCGCCAGAAGGAGAGTTGAAGAGGAACCACTTCCCCACCGCAAAACAACATTGACTACATTAGACACTGACAAATAATCAAAATGGGTACAAATTTATTAACTAGAAAAAATAAAGTATAAACGGCAGAGAGAACAAACCTCATTAATGGCAAGCACTTGGCCATTGCTCTTCTTGACCTTCTTCAGCTTCCTCAGGAAATACCTAATCCAAACAAATCAATCAACAATATTAAGTTTAACCCAAGCCGAGCTAAGGCTAAGGATTATACTAGAACTTGGACTTGGTGCGAACCTCATTGGTGGCCCAGAGCTTCATTCGGTAAATCTTGGGGTGCTCATCAGATGCCGTAGGGAGCTTCCTCCCAACAACCTGGTACTGGTGGAACTGCAACACAAAAAAGACACCATTAATTGCAACCTTACCATTTGACCCGCTTTAAGAGAAATATATAACACAAAAACAAATACCAAATTAAACGGAACCTAAGAAACTGTGAAGATAATTTCTAGATATTTGTTTACCAAATTTCATACAACAATCCTCCACTTCAACTGACTATTTACAACAATACTAAAGAATTTGTATACATATTACACATGCAATATTTAGCTAATCCATTTCACCAGTAGCCATATATTTAACTAAATAAACTATGTCTAATACCAAATGGGTATTCTTCAAGAATAAAACCTTCTTGAAGTACCCATCTAAGTTATAATATGCAGTGGAAAAGAGAATAAAAAGATCACCTTAGCATCCCAGTACCCTAACATGGGAAAAAAAAGTGCATAATTTAGAATTCTGTAACAGATTGTCTCGTTAAATTAAACAGAAATTAAAAACAGTGAATTTAAGGCTGAGATGTAATCGACTTATTGAAAAAAAATTGAGGATGAGAGAACGATTGACAAACCTCTTTGCTAGTCCAAATGCAGAACCCTACTTCGTTTTTTCTTGTAGCACCTTCAAAGTCAGTCAACATTTTGTGTTGTTCTACAAAAGATATTTATGAACACAGAACGTCATTTGACGAAATTCTATTAAAAGAAAAAACTGAAATTAAAGAGAGGGAGAGAGAACATTATATACCGCAACTTCTATACATATACACTGGCTCTGTCCCACAACAGCAGCAAGGGCAATGACAAGCTTTTATTCATGCACAAACAGTCACCTGCCATTACCAAATCAAAAGCCTGTTCAATCCTGTCATAGTGGAGAGATACAATCAAAATTAATAAAAGGGAAAGAAATTGAAATACAGTGGAGGCGATTAAAAGATGCAAACCTTGTTTCTATTTCAAAGTCCACGAATGGATGTAATTGCACCATTTTGTTTTAGTCCTGCAATGCACACAGTCATCAGCTTCGCCCAAGCAACTCTGTGTGCCAATTCAAATCCACCATGAACCAATCCATAAGCTCAAACATAGAGCTCAATCATATGATAAACCATCACACAAAAGGCTTAATTTTGGTCCAAAAGGGCAATTCGAGGATATGGATCTTACCTGAAATGCTTTGGTGAGGTTGCAAAATCACATTTTCCCTCATGCTCAAACCCTTCAACAACTAAAAAACAATGAAAGGAAATTTTATGTAATTCCAAGCACATGCAAGAAAGAACAAAGGCACCAAATTTCAATCCAACATAATTATAGAACAAAGACTCAAACTTTTGCCTTTATGTCCTTGAGTTTCCACAGAAACCCAAGTGATTTCAATAAAATGTACTAATGTTATTAAGTGGGTGACCTCAAACGCTCTTATAAGCATAATTATTGAACTCCTACCCACAAAACAACAATAAAATGTTTTAAAAGATGAAATTTTCTGTTTTTTCTTGCGTTTTCTTAGCAAACAACTGAGGGTAAGTAGGTTTCTACATATTTTATACAGTGTGAAATCAGATTTTTTGTTTGAATGATCTTATATTGAACCAACCATCTTTACCTTCCAGCTGAGAGACTGGTCGATTAGTTCAGAACATCAGCTCCCAATCATATTTCCTTTCAGATGCAAACAGATATTAAGCTCCTAGGGTTCATTATCCGCATGCTCAAAAAGAAAGAGATAGAGAGATCTTACTTGCTTAATAATTTTTTGGGCAAGGAATCAAAGGATTCAATAGCATGCTCAGAAACCCATCAGCAAGTCATTAATCCATTAAAAAGTTGAGGGGATGCAAACCTGAAGAGAAACGATGGAAGAACTCGCATATCGAAAATCTCTCAGACGAACGTTGGACTGAGGATGAAAGATGGATGAACCAACGAGTGAACACATCAGCCAAAAGCTTGGCATTTGTGGGCTGATCAATCCACTCTAGGTAAACTACAACAGGCACACCAGAGGCCATAGTCTCAAGTGTAGAGCTCCACCCACCATGGGTCATGAAGCAAGCCACTGCCTTGTGCATAACACCTTCTCCTGAGAGCACCAATTGACCACCATGCCCCTATATCTGGTCTCTTCTAAAAACCCATAAGGCAATTCACCCAACTTCATCTTGGAGCCTTTCGTTGGGGCCTTTAGCACCCAAAGAAATGGTCTTTTGCTGGTTTTCAATGCCATGGCATTGCTGCATATACATTTTTTTCTGATTAATTAAGGGTCGAGATTATGAATGAGAACTCTGTGATGAGTTTTTGAAATCTCTATTTTTTTTTTAATTTACATAAAAAATGGAAAATTGTTATTGATTCTATTGGCATAATTTGTTTAGCCACCGTTTTTTCTCTTCGTTTGGATGAGGGAAAATAACACATAATTTAGCTAAAAGTCGGGAAGTTAAGAGGAGAAATTGACAATTCCCTTGTTTGGCAACTTAAGCGTGAAATTTATTAAATGACGCGCGGAAAAAAACCGTGGAAATTAAGGCATCAAATTTCCGAGTTTAATTTCCACCAATATATGCATCATTTCATAATTTCCATGGTGCCATTTACAAAATTCGACATACATAAATCCAAACACTGAAATCTTCAATTGTTAGAAACTGAAATCTTCAATTGTTAGAAATTGAAATGATGGAAATCTAAATTCCATCATTTTAAAATTCTATGTAATTTTCAATTACTTCATCCAAACAGAAGGGGGTTTAGGGTTGGGATAAATTTGACTTAATTGCTACGGTTGTACAGCTATAAGTAAAGCCAAGTAATTCTTATGGGGTTGAACCAATGACAAGTTGTTTCATGTATGATATGTACTTAGATATATATATATAATATATAAATATTTTGACTTTTTCCTTTTAGTTTATGAAAGATATGATATATTTGGATGGGTTGTTGATAGGAGTGATAACAACATGATGTTGCTTTTGATTATATATTAAGCATTTTCGTGTATTGAAGCCTTTTGAAATTTTTTTTGTTTTTTTTAGTAAGCTTTTTTAACATGAAAAGAATTGTCTGATGCAGTTAATTGTAACCAAAAGAATGAAGCCCTATTATATCACTAATAAAAAAAAAACCCCTTGCGCGACGAAACTCAAAACATCGTCGCTCAAAGTCTTGCGCGACCAAATTTTGCACGACAAAAATAATTCGTCGCGCAAAGTCACTTTGCACGACAAACTTTGCACGACGACAATACATCGTCGCTCAAAGTCTTGCGTGACCAAATTTTGCGAGATGAAAAACAATTTGTCGCCCAAAGTCACTTTGCGCAACAAACTTTTGAGTGACGACAATACATTGTCGCTCAAAGTGACATTGCACGCGAAATAACAAACTTCGTCGCGCAAAGTCCTTATAAAAATAAATTAAATAAAAAATTTATTTTTAAAATCTTTGCATGGCCCAATCCAAACATTTCGTCGCCTAAACCAATTTATTTTTGTTTTTTATTTTGTATGCATAACACTTAAGAAATTAAACGGTATATATATTTATTAAGTAGCTTTAAATTTATTAGTTTAGATCAAATCGGATTTTTGTTAGAAAAATATATTATTGTTGTTCGGATTGGGTTTTTATTAGAAAATATATATTTTAAATTGACGATCGAATTAGTTCATTGTATTCATATAAGGTCAAGGAGTGTACTTGTAAAAAATCATCAAAATCGGAGTTAAAATAACCGTTAAATCGTGATTTTTCATTTATAACCGTCGAAAAGTTTTGTCCCGTTACTTGATCTCTGAATGTTTATTTTTTCTGATTTTTGGCGTATATGATCTCAAAGTATAAACAAACAAGTTTGACGGTTGGATCGTTGAAACTAGTTTGTTGAATGCGTATGCCATCAAAACAATATATTCACTAACAATTAAGAGTTTATTTATACTTTCGTTAAATATAACATAAGATTTTGTGGTATCCACTAGTGTAAATATTTTAAATTGAAGATCAAATTCGGTCATTGTATTCATATAGGGTCAAGGAGTGTACCTGTAAAAAATCATCAAAATCGGAGTTAAAATAACCATTAAATCATGATTTTTTATTTATAACCGTCGAAAAGTTTTGTCCCGTTACTTGATCTCTGTTTATTTTTTTTTTTTTTTTTTTTTTCTTTTTTTTTTTTGGCGATCTCGTATATGTATATAAACAAACAAAGTTTGACGGTTGGATCGTTGAAACTAGTTTCGTAGAATGCGTATGCCATCAAAACAATATATTCACTAAGAGTTTATTTATACTTTCGGTAAATATAACATAAGATTTTGTGGTATCCACTAGTGCAAATATTTTAAATTGAAGATCAAATTCAGTCATTGTATTCATATAGGGTCAAGGAGTGTAGCTGTAAAAATCATCAAAATCAGAGTTAAAATAACCGTTAAATCATGATTTTTCATTTATAACCGTTGAAAAATTTTGTCCCGTTACTTGATCTCTCAATGTTTATTTTTTTCGATTTTTGGCATATATGATCTTGAAGTATAAAAAAACAAGTTTGAAGGTTGGATCGTTGAAACCAGTTTTGTAGAATGTGTATGCCATCAAAACAATATATTTACTAACAATTAAGAGTTCATTTATACTTTCGTTAAATATAACATAAGATTTTGTGGTATCCACTAGTGTAAATATTTTAAATTGAAGATCAAATTCAGTCATTATATTCATATAGGGTCAAGGAGTGTAGCTGTAAAAAAATCATTAAAATCGGAGTTAAAATAACCGTTAAATCGTGATTTTTCAATTATAACCATCAAAAAGTTTTGTCCCGTTACTAGATCTCTGAATGTTTGTTTTTTGCGAATTTTGGGGTATACGATCTTGAAGTATATACAAAAAAATCTGAAGGTTGGATCGTTGAATGGTGTGTGTATATATATATTTATTTATTTATTAAGTAGCTTTAAATTTATTTATTTTGTACGTATAACACTTAAGAAATTGAATAGTATATATATTTATTAAGTAGCTTTAACCTTATTTATATTTTAAATCGTAAAACAAAATTATTTTATTTTTATTATTCATAAAAATTATTTTTATAAATATTGTGCTATGAACCAATTTTTCGTCTCTCAAAAGTTTGCGTGACCAACAGTTCGTCGCGCAAAACTCTAAAAATTTGGGCAAGTACCAAAAATGGGACGCGGGATTTTTATAAATAAATAAAAAATTTAGACTTTGCACGACCAATATTTTTTAGGGAGTTTCACTAAACACCCAAAATGGAGGTTGAAATTATAAAAAAACCCAACACCCAAAACACTTTATAAACACACCCAAAACCAATCATTACACACACTCAAAACTCATTTATAAATACACCCAAAAAGTTGACTTTGGAGTTGATTTTGGGTGTGTTTCTATGTTTAAATAGTGCTTGGGTTTTTTTATAAATACATGTCTAGGATTGGGTTTATTTATAAATTTGTATATTTTTTATCACTCAAAACTTTGCCCGACCAATATATATTTTTCGTCGCACAAAAATTTGGGTGGGTACAAAAAATGGGATGCGGGAATTTTTTTATATAATTTTTTTAGACTTTGCGCGAGCAATATGTATTTTTCGTTGTGCAAAAATTTAAAAATTTGGGCTGGTACCAAAAATGGGACGTGAGAATTTTTTTTGACTTTGTGCGACCAACAATATTTTCCATCGTGCAAAGTGATACGGTTTTTAAAACCAAAATAACTCCTCCACCATTTTATCAATGTCTTTCTCTACTCTTACCTCTCCTCTCTCTTTCCCTCTCCCCAAATCCCACCATTTCTCTCACACTCACTCCTCTCACTTAATCTCTCATCTCTCTCTTCACTATCTCTCACTCTCACTCACTGTCTCATCTCTTTTTTCACTATCTCTCACTCTCACTCACTCTCTCATCTCTCTATCACTATCTTCTCTAATTCTCTCACAGTCACTTCTCCTCTCATTCTCACTCACTCTCAATCTTGCCAGAAGGTATATTATCTCCAAATTTTAAATTTTTTTCATTAATATATGTTTTTGGAGTTAGTTATGAGTTTGTGTGGGGTTTGGGGTTGAGTAAAGGGGAGGGATTGGAGTTTGGGTTGGATTTGTGGTATAACAATTTTAGGGGAGATTATGCCTTTTTTGTTGTTGTTGTTATTTGACCATATTTGTTTTTTTGTAGGGAATCATCGAGACTTTGACAGCTAAAATTGAGGATTAGGAAGCTGTCAAAACATATCCTCCACCACTACCACCACAATATGCTTGTATTAGGATTTTTATTATTGTACTTTGTTAATTTATGTGCACATTTTGAATATTATATATATACTTATTGGATAATTTTATCACAATTTTTCATATGTAATTTTATTTTGAATATGTCAATTTAAATTAAAGTAATTTAAAAAAATCATACAATTAAATTAATTTTAAAAGTAAAAATTTGAATAAATTAATATCAATTTAAATTAAAGTAATTTAAAAAATCATACAATTAAATTAAATTTTAAAATTAAAATTTTGAATAAATTAATATTAAAGAAATAATAAAACAAAAAGTCAAAAACCTTGCACGACAAAATATTTCGTCTCGCAAACTATTAAATTAGTTTATTTTAATGAAAAATTTTTAAAACACAAAAAAAAATTTGTCGCGCAGAACTTTAAAATTTTGGGCGGGTACCAAAAATGGGACGTGGGATTTTTTTTTATTTAATTTTTTTAAGTCTTTGCGCGACCAATGTTTTTCGTAGCGCAAAACTTTGAGCGACCAATGTTTTTTGTCGCGCAAAACTTTGCGCGACCAATATTTTTGTCACGCAAAACTTGTGCGACCAATATGTTTTCGTCGCCAGAGTCACTTTGCGTGACCAATGAAAAAACTTCGTCGCGCAAAGTCTTTCTTCACGATCTTTGGGCGACGAAGTTTCTGTCGCGCTGAAATTTATGCGACTACGATGTATTTTGCGAGACAAAATTCTCTTCGTCGCGCAAAGTGTAAAATGTAGTAGTGTATGTTTTGGAGTGGTT